ACAGCTTATCCGACGAGAACAAATACCTTCACCGTGTTTTTACGAAGAACAACTACAACAACGACTTCATCCGACGAAACACTCACCGACCCACTACCACTACCGAAACAAACGACACCGCAACCCCTACGACTACAGCAACCATACCGTACATAAAAGGCATGTCTGAAAACATCTCGCGCATCTTACTACCCTTCAATATCCGCGTCGCCCACAAACCCATCACCACACTACGTCAGTTACTAACCAACGTTAAAGACAAAGACGAACCGAGGAACAGACAGGGAACGATTTATAAGATCAATTGTTCCGACTGCCAAGCCTCCTACATCGGTGAGACTGGCAGAAACCTCACAACAAGACTGACTGAACACAGACGGGCGACGAGGAAAGGTGATGTCAGCAATCACATTGCTGAACACCATCGACTTACCAACCACAACATTGACTGGGACTCTGCGCAATGCCTAACCTACAGCACTGACTATTTTCAACGACTGACTCTGGAAAGCTGGTTTACTAACTTAGAACAGACTCCCCTAAACAGATGTCAACAACTACCCGCTCCATACAAACGACTCATTCACGACATAAACATCACAAACGACCGAAAAAGAACGACCTAACTTTACCGACAGATCGAAACAGACCAATCACGACCGACTTACGTCACTTGAGTCTTACAGCCAATAACATCACGGCAAAACCAACCGATCATTTCACACGAACTGGAATAAGAACATTCTACTGACAACAATCATTCACTTGACTCTGATGATGACTTCCGCACAGGTTGTCGAAACGTCAGTCACTACCACCGACAACAGTCCTTCTCAGGACTACACTCACCCGGACGATCAGACTACACCTTAACAAGAAGATTACATGTGCAAATTGACTTAACCATATTTCTACTGCACTTCAAATAAAGGTTATTATATGAAAGCATGTAAAATGGTTACTCTTCCGTTTACTTAAAGTTCAATTTGATCTAGCCATGTTAAAGTCAAGTTTTAGGAACACCAGGAGTTTGACTTTCTTCTTTTTATTAAATTAATCCCAATTAAATAAATTATAAAATAATAACTAAAACAATTATGCCCTTCTGGTTCTGGCATTAACATCACATCAACCTTCGATTGTTGGGAAAGATTATGCACTTTGATTGAGAACGATGATTAAAATTGAACGCGAGACTACAAATCCTGCGCACGCTGAGGCAATAGTTCCAAAAAATTATATTTCACGCTGAATACAAGTTACTGCATCAATATCTTACCAGAGAACATCATTTCGCTTTCCTTCAAAGGAACTTTGAATCCTCTTCTTGAAACGCCAAGTAACTGTAGATATCACTCTAAGTGAGACAATTTCTCGCTTCAAGACACTTGCGCTTAGCTAGAAAAAGATGGTACCAATTTGCTGAGGATCTGGCGATTCTTCGCCCAAAGATGCTAAATTTCACATTGTAAGGGTGTTTTAGGCGTCATTCCAATTCCAATCTTATGTAGGCACAGACTATTAAGGTTAAATAATGTCCATAAACAAAGGCAAACGTACCGTGACCGCCACAACCTGAACTTCGTCGTCGTCCATCTTGGATACACACAATCTATCTGTGTCATGTGACGTTTTAAGGATTGGCGCCAATCGTTGCTTGCATTCGATTGGTTTGTGCTAAGTTTGCTATCCCCTCCCCACTTGAATTTATATTCTCCTAGGGGATATGTGTAAGAGTTGATTTATCAGTTTTGGGTGAGGGGGGAGGGGCTGTTAGTTGGAGTGTACCAATCTGCCGCACTGATTTTTTCTTCGACCGCGTTACTTTTGAATTTTAGAAATTGCACCAGACAACATAGTAGTTTTTTTTTGTAATTTCCGTTTTAAGACCTCTGTTTTTTTCTTGTCTTTGCTTGTGCTAAAAACGGTAAGCAAGTCCTGCGAATTTCTGCTGCTCCCCACCCCCCTGTAAGTTTACAGGTGGTCTAATTGGCCTTCACTCCGCTTCTATTTACTCGCAAAATTTCGCTCAACCATATCACTTTCACTTTCAAATCGTTGGTAGTTTGGTAATCCTTCTCTGGAGAGGCTACGCGTACGCCAGTAGGCTGACTATACAATCCTTACGTGTTTTTCGTTGCGTCCGCTGAGACTGACCACAATATGTATTTGGCTATTCAGTCAGTTGTATAGTTGTGTTGACGAAGGTGTCAATATAGTGTGCACTGCAGTATGTGTCTACCATCTATGCAAAAGCTAAAAGGTGAAATTAAACGGGAAGGTGTATGAGGAGGTACAAACTTTGTGGATGCAGATGAAGTTGTGCATCTCATTCGTGTTTATATCGCCTGTTTCATTATCGTCGGAGCAGCTAAATTCATTGAGAATGTCGAACGGAATACGTCAACTCTCAGGGACGCCGATTGTGGCCGTGGTGTGGTTGTAGCTGTTGCCCGAAAATGTGGTTCAACTACAACCAGCAACGTTTACTGCAGGGATGTCGATGACAGCGGAAAAATTCAACTATTCGACCCCAATTCAACTATTCAATCCCGCATTCAACTATTCAATCCCGCATTCAACCATTCAATCCCGCATTCAGACCCGATGGTTGCAGGACTGAGTAACCTGAAAATGTGGAGTGATCGTACAAAAATCGCTCTTGAAAAAAAGTATTTAGAAATAAAAAATTCGGAGACACGTTTTTGTTGTTTATATGTAAAACTAGCTACTGTCAATATTGAGAGCAATCGAACAAATTCTCTTTGACTTGCAGCTCTTAAAAGGGGATTCGGGCGCTCGCATTAAGAAGTCGTGAAAACTCGACAATTCATTTTTTTGCAAAATTTTTGGTATAGTCTGATAGCCAGTCCTATAAGCTTAAAACGAAACTCAGAGGAACAGAGAATCGATGTGTCCTCTTTGATCCTTTAACTTATGTATGCTTAGCTCTGCTACCACAGCATTGAGCACTTTTTGTTAAGGTAGACTCTACCCTCACATAATTATATATTATATTATAAATTTTCAAACTCTCAATGTTGGTATGTGTACATGTGTGGCATTATAAAAGGATTACGGTTCTAAATTTTGTATTACTGCATTAAATACTGTATACTATAAGCCATTACGATTATTGTTAAACAAATTAAAGAAAATAATTTCTACATAAAGACAATTCACAAGCTACAGTGTAAGGTTCGTTTACTAGTAACAAATAGGTCAATGAATTTGCAATATAATAAATACCATGGTGTACAACTAATCTCATGAGCAAAACTTACTGCGACTGAGATGTTCGAGAAATAGCTAGTTCATTTTTCCTTTGAGGAATATTTCAAGAAAATGTTCGAAAATGTTCGCTAATGGTCGCCACCTCATTTCCAAAGATAAAATTAACCAGGCATACCAATGTTAGAGACCAGGTTCCTGCTGTCTTGTTATATTTTGATCCACAATACGTTTCGATCTCAATAGTCGTTGGTTCCTGATGCATTCTGGGGTGTGGAGACGCGCTGTCCCTGACACCCACGATCAGGTTCTTCACTCAGAAAGTCATAAGCACTCTAAATGTTGAACGTGTCTAGTTACAATGACATTAGTTGAAGGGCTGGTGTTTGGGTGCATTTGTATAGTAGTAATTTCAAGACATGGGGATGGATGGGTAGCTGCTGCACCTGACATTGCAGACGCTCAACCTGCTACTTCGGAGGAAAATTTTAAAGATCAAGTTGATGGGCGTCACACTACGTGGACTCTACTTGGTTCTCTCAAGGGAATAGATCGAGCTGTTTTGTGTCTGTCTGTTTTCATCCACATTCTCAGGGTACTCCTTCCCGTCGCTTTCAACAAAGTTCTAGCATCATTAAGTGGCGGAAGAGTCGATTGTGGCCGTTGTGTGGTCATAAGTGTTGCCCGAAATTGTGATTCAACTACAACCAGCAACGTTTACTGCTGGGATGTCGATAGCCACGGAAACGGGGAAGGCGAGCCCTTCCAGCTGATGTTTGAGAACAGAACCTTTTGGACAAATGAAGAGGTAACAAATGAAGGACTCAAAGTTGGATCTCTTTTGAACTATCAGCCATTCGTACCGTCCTTTCAGATTGTCTCTGAGCAGGGTAAGCTCGACGGAAAACAGTTTATTGAAAATGCCGGTGGTAAACCACAGGTAAAACTAGCTTTCACTATGTTAACTATTATTATTAAATATAAAGACGCTCCCCACGATTAGGCCCGGTGAGCCTGTTCAGCAGTAACTGGGAGCTGTGCGTGCTATTCTAAATCAACGAAAAAATTAAAATTTTGGTGTACACACCAATCATGGTTGTAAGTGTAGATACAAAGATCTCTCATTTAGAAGGGTGCTACAGTGCCACTGTAGTAACTCGTTGAATTTTACTTACTACAGTAACTATAATTATAATTACTCCAAAATCATGTTAACAAAGATAGGTCAATTAATGGACTTCTTTAAGAGCTGCATATATATATAATGGGGCCTATTTATGTGAACACAGTTTTCACACGTTTTCCCTCATGCTTATATTATTGGAAATCCTATGAAACCAGTTTTTGAGGACAGTCTTGCAAAATCCTTTATATAATTATTTTTATATGTAGCATTTTCACAGGTGACAAAGTTCCATTCATGCTAATACACAATGAGGAAAGAAAAGATTGTGTCTGTTTAAAAAGAAATAAGGAAAACTTGAGCATAGGGGAAAAGAACAAGACATTGCTACTTGCTACAATCAGAACAAAGAAAGAACACTGGCCCAGCTTTAATTATCAAACAACTTTTGGCCAATTTTGTGTGTACAAGCCATAATGTCAATTTTTTTAATGAATTTCAGTGAATACGGTCAGAAACAGGGATAAACTACAGCTACTAACAACAGCACTCTAAGCTTAGAGCAGTGGAAAAAAAGAGAGATGTCCATGCAGTTCGTATGCAAGGCTTAGTAGTTGTGCTCTAAGCAACAACCACTGTGCAAAGTGGATAATTTTCTGATCATTGGTCCTATGGAATGCTGCAGATCACAGATTCGATGATCTGTTTTCATATCATACAGATCAGTGATCTAATGAATCTTTGTCCAGAGTGGACTCAATGGATCAATGATCTGAAAATGCTCTTCCCAAAGGAATGCACCTTAAATGTTACTGAATGATATTATTTTTATTTAATTAATAATGAATACAGATAACTTAAGAGTAACTTGAATTAGAAGTAACTTTTGTGCAACAATTCTTACAAGACAAGGGACTTTCGGGCAATTACAGCCAAATTTCTGGCAATTTTTTTGCTCAGCCCTACCTAAACAAACACTAGTGAATAGCTTTTCATTAATTAATTTTGTTTGAATCAACTCCCAAGAAACTTGATAAAATTTTACGCCTTCACATTCGTATCCACGTCAGGATCATTCTGATTACCCCCTTCACATTCTTTAGAGCAAGGAGAGGGCCCAGAAAATGAAGTTGCAGAAGGTCTCATGTTTTTTTTTTTGTATCAAAAACAAAACAAACAAACTTTATTCTTATTCTGATTACAGACATACATAATTGAAAATTCTTATTACAAAAATACATGATTCAAATGGTTTGCCCCACAGGATGTAACTCAATTGCTAATGGACCTTCAAGACAATGAAAGTTTGTATAGAGGACTTAAAGGGGCACATGGATGTGTCAACCAAAAGGTAACTAACTATTATAATAGGCTGTAACATAAGGGAAATTTGTAAACAAAACAACCCCTGTTTATTAGCTAAGCAGTATTGCTTCCCCTTCTGGTTAGGATTTATGTCAATTCATTGCAAATATCCTTTCCAGCATCTCCTCAGTTTTACAGACAGCTTTTTGGTTTAATGTAAAGAAAGACTATGTGAAACTAAAGTGTCTTAGTGCCCAACTGCATAACACAATTACTCAAACCAGGGTTGTAATAGCTGAGCTGTTTTGTTCATAGTCTAGTATGTTGACCCTCATACAACCAATTATTGGTAACAAAATGTGAGAATATTATTTTATGATTTGCATTGCCATTTTCTTTAAAAAATTAAAAGTGCACTGAGACCATATCAACTGATAATTTTATTGCTTGTTAGAATGGGTGCTTTAATCAATCTACTTATATGTTAATAAATGTTTGGACTTAAGTTGTGCCATTCAGTGTTAGAAAAAACACTTTAACTCACTTATGTCTATATGCAACCTTGTCATTAGTTAGGATTGAGCATGCTAATTGAATAACCTAATTTAGTATGTTTTTCCTTTTTTTTTTTTTTTTTCATTTTCTTCATGAAAAGGGTCACAGATTTTTTCAAGCCTATTCAGACAAAAAGGAGTTTCTAAAAGAACTCTACACCAAACTTCACATGGCATGTACCAGAATTTACTTCATTGGAATAAGGGCTTGTACAATTAAGAATGAAAGAGTTGCTCTGGAAACAGTGGATGGAGAATTGTTAGATATGCCACTGAACTGTAGAGAAAGCCTTGTCTTATCTACAGCACCAGTTCATTTACAACTTAAGAGGCCATGGGAGGTTGCAGATGATGAATTGGGTGGTGTGGCAGTTGTAAAATGTGAAGCTGGAAAATCTACCTGTGAGGGAATGATTTTAAGTGAGTGATATTTTATATATATTAGATTAGTTTAGTTGAGGTGTCCTTATTTAGTGGGAAACTGCTATTGATTTGACACATTGATAAAGATTATTATTATTATTATTATTATTATTATCAGCATTGTGTATGCACATGACTTTTTTGGTTTTTGGCTTTATGCATGACACAGACAATAACAGAGGAAAAAGGCTACATGTTTTTTCTTTTTACTTATTTGTCTTTTCTTTTGTTTGTGGCAATACCTGGAAAATATAGATCTTTACAATACTGTGATGAGCTGTAAGTGTATTCGACCTCATTCATAACAATTACTTGGTATACTCACTCACAGTGCTGCACTTATGTTGTATGTGCCAATTTAGCCTAAGTTATAAGAACAGAGCTTGAATTAGATACTGAGAAAAATTATTCAGACTTCATCAGGAGTCAAAATTATGACTCCTGTAAAATTAACCAATGTGCAGTACATACTTTAACCAGTTAAGCCATCAGTTCAACTGGCAGTCAGTCATTGCATAAGGTTGTAAGACTTGCACATCAAGAATAATTAAGTAAATGAAAGTAATTGATCATTTTTACTTTATTATGAATTAGCTTGATAGCCAGTGTTAAAACAGAGGAAGTCCTCAATGTTATTCAGTTCTTATCAAATTGCTCAATAAATGAAAGTCTATATAATGCATAAGAATTTGTATGGCCAATATTCTAGCAGAATTAAAGGATCTAAATGATCTGCAGCATTAATTTGTCTTTTGGTTAAGTGTGTTACAGTTAGTTATAATTTACATTTTTACTTGAAGTGTGATGATTGACCTAGCGTTATGATTTTAAAAAAGTCACAAATAATGTTAAAAAAAAATCACTTTTCCCTTTGCTTTTGCCTCCTATTTTCAGAACCTTTTGGAAAAGTTAGTATTGTCACATAATTAGTATACATTATTTTCTTGTACTTCTTTTCAGGATATAAACCCTACATCATATCAAGGGATGAAGAACTAGTTGAGATACGGAATGCATGTGGCAAGGTGATTCCACTTGAAAGAGCCTGGCGTGTCTTGTTTGACACTGGCAACGAGGCACGCACTGGCATATCCACAGGGCTTCTGTTGGAGTTGAACCTGCAGCCTGATTCCAAGACAAAAGAGGAGGTCAAGTTAGCAGGAGGAGGGTTGCGCCAGTTTGAAAACGTAGAGATTGAGCTTGTAATTCGAGGATACCACTTTAAAGTTTATGCATTAGTTGGTGTCCCAGCTGAGGGTACTGATCTTCTTGTGGGAATGGATATAATCCAGCAGCTCTTTGATAAAGGGTATACTATTGGTGAATAACTTGTGGTACATTTTAAGAATTTCCAGAATAATGTATGTCCTTTGCGGTAAACTCCTAATCAGTAGAAAGGTTATTAATGTATGCACATCTGTACAAGATCATTTTGCTTAACTTGGGATTTAAACTTTTTATATATATATATTTTTTTGTCTTTATGAGACCATTTGATACAATTCTTGAAATGTTTGTAATGTTAATAGCATGAAACATGTTGCACTGTGCAAAGTTACCACTTAGTAAAGCTTCCAGATTTTTGCTCCTTGTCACTCTGTTGAACAGTCAGAATGCTATATATGGCACTCTTATATCTATGACAAACATATGTTTTTTCAAGTATTGTTTATGTTTTTTTTTTTTTTTATTTAATTCAGTCAACAAAAAACTTCATGTCTTTCTTTTGAAAAGTGTTACTCCAAACTTATGAGCATCTTTTGAGCTCTTTGGAATTGAATTTTCTTTATTACATTCATCACTTCCTCCATAGAACACTGACAAAATGCAAGGCAGCCAGTTTTGATGTAGTACTGCTGCTATATTCACCCTGTGTGAGGTTATTATAGCCAGATATGATGCAACCCTCAACCAATCAGAGCGTGGACATCTCTATAAGCACCTGCATAGTTATACTTTTGTAATATATGACAAATACAGTAGCTGCCTTTAGGGTTAATATGATGTAGTGCATAGAGAATTTTAGAACGTCTGTCTATTACTTGAAATATAATTGATTAGCTAATATCATGTACAGCACATAATGAACAGTAGTGATTTTGATCAAGAGTTTATCTATTATTGAATGTTAACCATCGTGACAATGTAAAACATATTGCACATTCAGGACATGGAATCAAATTCCAAGAATTGTAATGAAATTGTATTTAACTTTGATGGTTATAGTTTTCAAATAAAGCTTTGAAAGCTCTATAGGTGAGGGTTTAAATCAAACAGGCTGGCCAAAAACATTAAATCAAACATTCCAGGCAAGAAATTATTCAGGAATGGGTTTTTAGGACTAAACATCAAATTTTTTTTTATGCAGTCTTACCATCTCAACCCAGAACTGATCCTACGGAATTCATACAATCTGCATGATGTCTTATATAATCTATAAGCTTTCAAGCTCATTATCATCATCATTTTCAACATCATTATCATCATCATCATCATCTCCAAAATCATTGCTGGGGGAGGGGGTGGTGAGGTTTGAGGTATGGGTCAAACATTCTGCCCCTCAATTAAAGTGATGGCATTCTGCTCCCAATGAAAGTGATGCCTCTCTTACAGCCTTTCCAGGTGAAATGATTGCTGATGAGGTCACTTACTAATGGCCTCTCATAAATTATTTTGCCTATAGACCACTTACATAAATGGTTGCCGGATTAATATTCTTTTGTTTAAATTTAAATTAGCCTCTCTGGCCTCGTTCTCCAGTAAAAAATTCACAAGAACACATTATCTCAAGCGAGGCCAGAAAGGCTAATTTAAATTTAAACAAAAGAATATTAAATCCGGCAGCCATTCATGAAAGTGGTCAATAGCTGTGTGTTTATTGCACTCTTCTTGCACCATTCTGTTTATTAACATACCACAGTTATCATCATCACAGGGTTGATGTACAATTATCAACAAAGTACAGTAATCAAAGATTAATGTCTTTACGTGGGGCATGGTTACCCATATTGCCCGAGCCAGTGGCTCATGTATGAAACGCAAGACAACAATCCACATCCCACCCCAGGGGAGGACATCTATCACAGTAATCTCGTGCGTGGGAAATTAACGTCTCCTTCCCCTAACCTGCAGGAGACTGGACCTCCATTTATTCGTCCTTATCCGAGAAGACAAGAATATCTAAACCATTTCTTGATGTTATAGAAAGGCAGCATATTCTTCTCAATTATTTTAAGACCTTGAGTGTTGATCCGGCCGGGGCTCGAACCCTCGACCTCCCGCACATCAGTCCAGCGCTCTATCCATTGAGCTAACCGGGAGGCGGTTGGTCTCAAGCTATCTCTCCTTTGACATGGAAGTTCCAGTCACCCTTTCCCCTCCAGATAATAACATTGCCTAGATTGCTAAGATCTAGTAAACGCAGTATCACTCAATCGTTATGATGTCAAAATCATTGAAATTAAATTTTATTAATCAATATAGTGATAGATGGCTTTCTTTGAAACTCTCGTCAAGAATCGTAAAACCGATGTACGAAAGCTACTATTTAGCTTTAGTATAATTTCAGAGCTAAGCAAAGAGTTTCCAGCAGTCTGATTGGTCGAGCGGTTCCTTATATGACGCTATATAAACCGTTCCGCGCGGTTTATATAAAATGTTAAAATGTTACTAAAATGTTGATTTTAGAAATTTCTCTGTTGTTCGGCTCTGAAATTATACTAAAACAATTATTCGCCTCAGGTTCGGTGAATATTGTCGAATAATCCCCTCGACTTCGTCTCAATAATTGTTAAATATTTTTTTGCGTGAAAAATTATAAATGGTGGATAGATAAAAAGAGTTACGACGTGGGACTCGCGGACGTGGGACGCGAGGAAGTCGGGACTCAGGGACGTGATAAACAAACAATACCTGATTTTGGCGCTGAATCTGTAAAGTATATTTTTCGATAGCCTCGATAAAGGTATTATACTACCGAAACAGGTAGAATGTTTCCCCGGAGACGTGCGTAATGTTTGAGACAAAAGTGATCGGTTTTGGTCACGTGACTAAAAACCGATGTTAACACAATAGGCAAACACACGTGATAACATTCCTTCGCACTTCTTTGTCCGCGCTTTTGTTGTCTGTTGTAGTTTATCCGCTTTCGTTTAGTAATACAACATCATCTAGCTAAAAGTATTTTATAACACTTCTCTTCGGAAATCGATGCGAACTAGCTACAACAGACGAGACTGAGGTATCTACCTTTGATGATCTGATTTGAATCGCAAGGAATAAATGAGAGTGTTTACAATTTAATCCAGAGGAAGAATTGCGGATTCAGTACAAGGACGATAAGGATACTTTCGTCACGAAGTAATCACAACTTGCGTCTGTTGTAGTTAGTTCGCATCAATCTTTAAGAAAAGAAGGTAAAATAAATTGTGAACACTCTAATTTACCGGTATTAATTCTTCATCAGGAACTAATTGTAAACACTGGAGTTCAACTGAATCCGCAATTTTCATTAGGAATAAATTGTGTACACTTTAATTTATTCCTTACGATTCGCATTAGTTCATCGAAGGTAGACACCTCACTTTCGTCCGTTGTTACTAACAGCAACTGTTACGCACGTCTCCTAAAAAACAGTCTACCGGTTTCGGTAGTATATTACCTTTCTCGAGACCACCGAAAATTATACTTTTCAAACCAGCGCAAAAATCAGGTGCGTGTTGTTTGTTTATCACGTCCCCGAGTTCCACGTCCCCGAGTTCCACGTTCCCGAGTTTCACGTTCTCAAGTTCCACGTCCCCGAGTCTCACGTCCTCGAGTCCACATCCTCGAATCCCACGTCCTCGAATCCCGCGTCCTCGAGTTCCACGTCTTACGTCTTACATCCCCGCCCCACTTTTAGTCACATTTCCTGCGGTACTGATAAGGAGAATTTCTTTATCAATCACTTAGCTTCTTGGTGATCATTTCCTTTATTCTTTTAATCTTAATGAATGATCCAGCAGTGTTACTGTCAGGAGAACTTAGATGTTGGTCACTCGTAGTGTTTAAAGGGTTAATCATCTTTAGTATGTGTGTGATTTGAAAGATGCTGAGTGGTTCTCAGTAGCTTATGCTGATCCAACAGAATGGAGCTAGCTTGGCAATGATAAATAATGTTCTTCCTTTTCTGCGAAGAAATTATTCCCCGCCACCACTTGCAGCCATTTGACTGCAGGGAAATGAAATATAATTCCAACCAGAGGATTGTAAAGGGAGCCTTCTAATATTATCTCGTGATTTTGTATTTCTTTGCAATGATCAAGAAAACGCAGTATTACTCATTGAAAATGAAGTCAAAACAATTGAAGCCAAATTCAATTTCACTCATCATTACCGTGATTAATGGCTTTCTTTGAGACTACGATATCTTGTCAAAAATCGTAAAACCGATTTATGAAAGCTACTACTAAGCTTTAATATTTTCCGGTAAAAATTACAGATAGTGAATAGACCAAAATAGTTACTGTTCTTTTTATAAGAAGACACTAAAGATTGTTCTGCGGATGTTGCAAATAGCTGAAAATTTTGTGCCAAAGATGAAATATTGTGGGTGCTACGTTGCAGATAGTGAAAACACGTTGACTGTTGTTGTGCGCCATGTTGCAGATAATAGGGCACATTGAGAAATGCAGCGTCAAAGATTGCGCAAGCACGTTGTTGATGTTGCTCCCATTTTTGTGGAGATATAAAGTGATTCGGTAATTCG